CATTCAAAAGTATGTTCTGTGAAGTCTTTAAAAGAGCATGTTCTGTCTACTTAATACAAGAGCATGTTTTGTTCTCTTTACACGAGCATGTTCCATGTACTTTTTAGCAGAGCAAGTACTGTTTAGTCTTTACAAGAGCATGTTGTGTGTATTCTTTGTAAGGACTTTTTATCTGTGCTCTTTACGGGATTTTGAGATTGATTACAAATCTTTTTCTTTTACTTTTTTGTCCGTAGCATCTTGATGTGATGAATATATTTTTTTTTCAATATAAGCCTAGATTTCATTTGACACATTCGCCCCCTCCCCACTTTTCCGGAAATATAACGTTTTGCTGTTATAAGCGTTAATAATTAAATACTGGTTGCCCCCTCATCTACTTTTGGTTGCAGTATAGTAATAAAGTCAAGTGGGAAGGGTGGGAATATGCACGTGTGAATAAAATTTAGGGGTGAAAAAAAGGTTAGAACCTACCCCACACTCCCTCCCTATCCCAATCCTTTCAATTGGATTTTCAATTTTGAACAAATTTCCCTTTTCTTGTTAAGCTTTTCATACGTTATTCAGATAAAATGTCAAAACTTCTCAGACTACATGAATTAGACGTTTATAGCATGAAAAGTTACATGTGACGTCTCAAAATGTTTCCAAATTTTTTTGTCATGAAGAAATTCCGTGACTTGACTGACTGCATCAAAGCAATGATTTTCCAAACTTGAACTTCAACTCATCAAGATACACTCCCATACGAAAAATCAGCTCAGTATCTTTAAACATTTAGAAAAAAAGGTGCGGAAACCAATTTGGACAGTCAGAGGGACAGCTAGATAAACAGACGGACGGAGAGACGCAGAGTAAAACCTATAGTCCCTCTGGTTTCATAGATTTATTTCATATAAAAATAAATGATTTGACAGTTTCTGAGAAAAATGATATTTAAAATTTTCATTTTCATTCTTCCTATTTAATACACCTTGTCACCATAATAAAGGAGGGACACTTGTTACACTTGTACCACCCCTCTTTCCTTCAAAACATAAATATGTAGCAATTATAGTTTTTTTCGGGTGGGATTGGTCCGGGGGAAATCGCACTCTATAACTACTTTACATAGTAGGATTTCCACCCGAAAAATTGACTCTGGTATGGGATTTCTGTACGGGAAATCCTGCTCTAGAGTCAGTTTTCCTTAGGGGAAATCCTTCTCTAGAGTCAGTTTTCCGTAGGGAAAATCCTTCTCTAGAGCCAGCTTTCCGGGGGGGGGGGAAGATTTTAGGGGGGAAACCTATTCTAAAAGACCTGTATATTTCGCAGTTGCCTCTAACCATAATCCGTGTTTTCTTCACAAGAGCATGTTCTGTGTAATCTTTACAAAAGTATGTCCGTGTAGCATGTTTTGTGAAGTCCTTTGAAGAGTATAGTACACTCTATACAAAAGCATGACATGTGTACGCCTTTCAAAGGAACGTCCTGTGTATCTTTACAGGAGCACATTCTGTGTTCTCTTTACAAGAGCATGTTCCGTGATCTTTATACAAGAGCATGCTCCATGTATTCTTCACAAGAGCATCTTCTGTGAACTCTTTACAAGAGCATGCATGTTCTGTGCACTGTTTACAAGAGCATGTTCTTTGTATTCTTTACCTTAATAGCACGTTCCGTGTAGTCTTTACAAGAGCATTCCCTGTGTGGCATGTTTTGTGAAGTCCTTTGAAGAGCATGTTTCAAGAACATTCTTTACAAAACGTGCTTTTTGCACTATACAAAAGGCTAGACAAGGACTCCATTCAAAGGTATGTTTTGCGAAGTCTTTAAAAGAGCGTGTTCTGTCTACTTATTACAAGAGCATGTTTTGTTCTCTTTACACGAGCATGTTCCATGTACTTTTTAGCAGAGCAAGTGCTGTTTAGTTTTTACAAGAGCATGTTGTGTGTATTCTTTGTAAGGACTTTTTATCTGTGCTCTTTACGGGATTTTGAGATTGATTACAAATCTTTTTCTTTTACTTTTTTGTCCGTAGCATCTTGATGTGATGAATATATATATATTTTTTTCAATACAAGCCTAGATTTCATTTGACACATCACCCCCTCCCCACTTTTCCCGAAATATAACTTTTTGCTGTTATAAGTGTTAATAATTAAATACTGGTTGCCCCCTCATCTACTTTTGGTTGCAGTATAGTAATAAAGTCAAGTGGGGGAGGTGGGAATATGCACGTGTGAATAAAATTTAGGGATGAAAAAAAGGTTAGAACCTACCCCACACTCCCTCCCTATCCCAATCCCTTTCAATTGAATTAATTTCCCTTTTCTTCTTGAGCTTTTCATACGTTATTCAGAAAAAATGTCAAAACTTCCCAGACTACATTAATTATAGACATAGTATGATAAGTTACAAGTGACGTCTCAAAAAGTTTCCAATTTTTTTTGTCATGAAGAAATTCCGTCACTACACTGACTGCATCAAAGCAATGATTTTTCGATCAAATCAAAAGGTCTTATTTAAATTTTGACATTTAATAAACTTGCTGCGATAAGTACTGTGCTTATCATGGTATCAATCGTATGGTACCATTTTTATACCTTGTATCAGTGGAGTTTTTTTATGTTGATTGCTTTATGAAACAAGCAAATTCAAAGAATTGTGGTCCCCCGCTTTTGGTGTCTTTTTGGGTGAGATGTCATTTTTTATGACATTTTGTGTCAAATATGAACGCCCTATCATAAGTCATCTATTTAGAAATTATCATTGAACTCCAAGGTCGAGGTCAAAGGGTTAACGTTCTTGGTATCCAATTAAAAGTCTTCTCAAAATGATTACATATGTGAAGTATGAAAGCCCTAGCCCTTACTATTCAAAAGTTATGGTCAAGGTTAAAGTTTTCTCATAAGTACAAAAAATCTCCAAGGTCAAGGTCAAAAGGTCAAGGTTTTTGGTATCAAAGGAAAGGTCTTGCCACAAAAAATACATATGTGAAATATGAAAGTCCTGGTATCTACTGTTCAAAAGTTGTGGCCAAAGTCAATGTTTTTGAAAAGTAGGTCAAACTCCAAGGTCAGGGTCCAAGGGGCAAAGTTCTTGGTATTCAATGAAAGGTCTTCTCACAAGAATTATATACTGTATATGAAGTATGAAAGCCCTAGCCCTTACCATTCAAAAGTTATGGTCAAGGTTAAAGTTTTTTTCATAAGTACGGAAATCTTCAAGGTCAAGGTCAAAAGGTCAAAGTTGTTAGTATCCTATAAAAGGTCTTGCTACAAAAAATACATAAGTAAAATATGAAAGTCTTAGTCCCTTCCATTCAAAAGTTATGGCCAAAGTAAAAGTTAAGAATTTTTGTGTAAAAGTGGATCAAACTCCAAGGTCAAGGTCTAAAGGTCAAATTTGGTGGTACCCAAAGAAAGGTCTTGTCAAAAGGAATACATGTGTGAAATATGAAAGTCACAACTCCACTTAATCAAAAGTTATGGGCAAGGTTAATGTTTTTGTGACGGACGGACAGACGGATAGACTGACGGATAGACGGACAGACGAATGAGATTTAATGTCCCCTCGCTTTCGCGAAAGCGGGGGACAAAAAGAAGTTATTATCTCTGGATAGACCCGTCCTTTCTGGATTCAGAATATCTACATATGGCGGGCATTTTCTATTCACTATTCACGAGATTTGCCCGTGATTTCTGACATTTACACCTACATACTCTGACACGTACTCCTATTTAATCAAATTCATAGTACAAGTTTTAAATGTCAAGATATGTTCAAAAAAACTAAGATGTTATGATTACGTAGTTTGTTCATAATTTTAGATATTTAGATTTGTTTCCAACTTTCATCCACAGGGTTCTAACTTTGAGTGAAAAATTTGGCAGTTTTTGAAGTCGAAGACACATATCCATTCAAATATCAGTTGACTTGCGTATCAACTTTTGTAGCAAATGCATTTTTGTTATGATTTAATATTATTTGGAAAGGAGAAAGAAATTAAAGGAGAGGGAACTGTCCTCAGGGACCTATACTCGATCTAGAGTACAAATTTGGGGGGGGGGGAAGCTGGCTATTGGCAAAGTCCTTTTTACGACATCGGTTGCTAGAGAAATCAAGCCTCTAAGAGATATCTCACTTGGAAAGTAAACAGACAAAAGGTAAATATTTGTACAAACATGAAAATACTTCTTTTGAAATAAACGGAAAAAAACCACTTTCTTTTTCTTATTTCTAATCTAATGATTTTCAATACAGTCTTCTAGATCTGTTTGGATGTATAAATGGGCCGATGGAAAATAAAAAAGCATATGAAAAATGTTATGGAAACATTCTGCAAGGCGTCAGTTTGTTAAAATTGGGTAAAGATTAAGTCATTTCGCAATGCTATAACTAGATGTATGTTGCTTAGTAGTATATGTAAGCTAAAAAATGTCATGTATGACCATGTTGTAAGTTAATCCTTGTAGAGTGAATATAATCTGTAACAAGTTGTTAATCTTTCGTATACATTGAAAGGTATTTTTTGATTAATGACGGCATTTTGAATGTTCTTTACAAGTTATTTGGCAAATTACAATTTTTACTGAAGATTTATGTAATAAACGGTGACGTTTTAGCCTTTTGAGATTAAATTTAAAGAAAGAGGGCGTATAAGGCGTGGACAATACCCCGCTTTGAGACAGAATGTTTCTCAATTTTCAAATTCACAGAAAAGTTAAAACCATGTTCTCTGTAATGTCATCTTCAAACCATTTTTATCAATTTATTTTACTGAACGACTTATTGTTTGGAAAAAACAAGTACAGTAAAAGCTTTCCTATATTCCTCTTTAGGCAGACCCTTCACAAACTAATGAATTGCGGAGCTAAGTGGTGACCTAGAGTTATAGCGTCTTCCAGCTAAATGTCTTTTAAGTTTTGGGAAGAGAAAAAGGTCACAGGGGGAAAGATCTGGAGAGTAAGCAGGATGAGGGATGACATTAACCCCTTCTTTACTGGGAAAATCTGTGACTAATTTGGACTTGTGGGCTGGATCATTATCGTGCAACAAGAAGAGATCATTAATACCAGTTTTGGACGTCTGTTTTTGTATTGCTGTTTAAGTTTATGCAAAATTTCACATTTGTAAATCTTTCCCGTGACACTTCTCTTCTTGGAAATTGGAAATTGCAACACAACACCCTCCCTATCAAAGAAAATGGCTTGAAGAGTCTTCTTTGTGCTCTGACAGCGTTTGACAATAACTGGACGCTTTCCTTGTTTTGTCATCCATATTTTATTATCAAACTTTCTCTGCGGCTGAAAATAATGCACCCACGTTTCATCTCCTGTTACAACCGGTATGTCTGAAAATAGTCGATTTTTCCTCTTTTTGAATAGTGTGATTATTTTTTTCGCACATGCAACGCGACTAGCTTTCTGTTCCTCATTCAGTAAATGTGGTATCCACCTTGCAGAGATCTTCCTGTAACCGAGATCTATTGTAAGAATTTCATGAACTGCTCCTATTGATATCCCTACTATTCGAGCTAAGACCTTAACAGTGTATCTTCCCTCTTTCTCCACTAAATCTTTGATTTTCAGCAAGTACTTTGCATTACTAACCGTTTTTGGTCTTCCGGATCGTACATCATCTTTAACAGTTTCTCTCCCGTCTTTGAATTTTTTCAGCCTTCTGGAAACGGTTCTGTATGATGGCTGTTGGTCTCCATAAATATTGTGTACCTCTTCGAATGTTTCCTTTGCTGATTTTTTAAGTTTAGCACATGCTTTTATGTAGCTTCTCATTTCTACTCTGTTGTATTTACTTTCTTTCCCATGATGAAACAACAGAGTATCACGTGTAGGATATTTTCCAAACTTGATAAATCTTCAAAAACTGAAGCAATTCTTTTTCTGCAAGGACGGTGTGGTTGATAATGAATTCAATGAACCATAACAAGTGTGTTTGAAGTTATCTACGTTCATTTTTATGGAGGACTTGGGAGGACAAAACTTCTTGAATGACCCTCGTAATATAAAAAAAAATGAGTCAGCAAATAGGTTCAATTCTGTTTTGAAAAGGAAATATTAAAAAAGTGTTAATCATATAGGGATAGAAATTAATATAAAACAAAATTTAAAAATGGTGGACAGTTAATGATCTCTAAGAACTACAATGACAAAAAGTTATAAAATTATTGGAAAAAAAGACAAGTTTTTTTCCTTAAGTTTTATTTGAGTTACATATATACGTACTTACTTAAAGGAAAAAGAATCTCTTGATTTTTTTTTTTTAGTAAAACAGTTTAATAAGTTAAAAGGAAAGTTAAGGCTCTCTGAGCTTTGAGATCACAAAACTCTAAAAATATCAAGCTTCTTTTACTCTATTCTTAAATAGAGGATATATGTACACGTGAAAATATAAGATAAATCTATGTATAATGTTGAACTTGGTACTATCAATTAAGTGTGAATAAAACAAATCCCAGCTGGCGAATGAAGAAAAGAAAATTATTTATCTATTTAGAAAAAGGTTCATAAATTCACAAGTGTTTGGAAAAAAAAATATGTTAAAAAAATATATGTTAATTATGGAAGGAAATCTTTACGTAAATAAATAACAAAATTAAAAGCCGTGATAACAAATAGTGATCAAATTCAATCTCAAAAAAACCTTAAAGCAATCAAGATCTGTAATTAGGGCGTAAGACACAGACTAACCCCCCCCCCCTTTCTCCAATACCAAGAGGCTAAATTCTTCTTGTTTTCTTTTTTTCAAATTTTAATTTAAGAGTTTATCAAAAAATTTGAACAGAGTAGGAATATCAAAGAAAAGTGAAAAGTTCCAGTTCCATGCAAAGAAAAAAAAATCTTCATTTCATTCCTGCTTGACCTTAGGAATTTTCAATAGGTGAAAATAACGAACAGTATTCATTGAAAAAAAGGCAACAACAACAAACAAAAAATTGAAAATTCCAATGCTAGTGGTCTGGTCATTGGATTAGGAGGAGTAAACACCCCCTGTCTAGTCTCTTTTTCAGTGAGCCCTTGTTCTGGAAAACATCTGTAAAGGGAAAAAAATAAAATCTATTTACATAAAAAAAAACAATTATCATCTTCATAAAGGATTGGGGATAGTTGCAAAATACCGTCTTAATACAGAAAATGTTTGTTAATTAATTAGAAGGATTTGGTTGGAGCTTTCCTCGTTTTGCCACAACTGGTCAGGTAATAATGAAATTTCATAACTGAGTACTCATGTCAAAGTATTTATAACTAGTATTCCCTTAATGACATTAACTTTGTTATTCTTATTTATGCAATCATTTTCAGTTTAATTTACAGTTGGGATGGAAGCAAAATATCGATGGTGGTAATGCATTACGAATGTAATTGTTTCAACTAATTGGAAAATTGTTTATTTTAATTACGAGCAATTATCAGTCCAATACAACACATCTTGTAATGTTTGTATGTTTATAATGTTCATTTGATTCAACTTGATACACAACCATTCCCCACGATAAATCAAAGTCAAGGCTTTTTAAATTTCATGGACAGCTGCCTTTTCAATAAAAATGGAACTCGTTAATTAACCCTTTTCATTGGTCATTTGCAAAAGATTTTATTAAAAAACATTCTTATTGTACACAAAAGTATTCTGATGTTGACATTTAAAAATGTTTGAGTTTCTGATTGACAATATCTAATGAGTTTTTGGAGACCAGGCCTTGCAACAATCCCATGGGTACTAATTGCGCTCCGTTTTAGCAGACCTATTTTTATACTCATATGAAGCAAAATTTGTCCAAAATCTTATACGTGAAAAGAAGAAAGCACTTGCTGTGGCCTTCAACTCGACATTTAGATATATCGACGACGTATTGTCAATTAACAATGCTATTTCCATTCTTATAATTATGTCGATACGATATATTTATTAATGGTAATCTAACAACAAAGCCTTATGATTATCGTGCTGACTTTAACTTTTCATTCGTCAACTTCTCTTACTTATAGCAATATGCCCCTATCTCTTGCTCTGCTCCTATTACTAGTACATATCAATAAAAAAAAATATCCATATGTTTCATTGTATTCGGGGTTTATATCACTCAGTTGATTCGATACGCAAGAAAGTGCTGTACGTATGAACAATATCTAAAAAGAAGTAGGTTATTTTCAAACAAGCTATTGAAACAAGAATATTAGCAGTCTCGTTTAAAGTAATCATTTGGTAAGTTATATAGTCGGTACAATGACCTTGTTAGCAAATACAATTTATCATTAAGTGAAATGCTAACTGAATTTTTCATACGAATTGCTAGGCCATTATTTACACACTGAATTGTCGACAGATTTTCCCGTTATTTCCCAATCATTGACAAGGGAGCAAACGGCGGGTGTTACCGATCTGCAGGGAATGCTCACTCCTCCATGACACCTGATTCCAGCTCTTGGGTCCTGTTTGGTCTACTCCTTATTTATATTGATTAATGGACTTTTGAGCTCGAAAACTGTTCATTATCTCCAACAATCTTTTGAATAAATTTACAAACTTTTATTAGTCATATTTTATCTTCTGCATTTCCTTGTTACTCCAAGCATTTCTCTTGTTTCTTTGTCATAAAATTCCTAGTGTTCATATTTAATTATATCCCTTTACAAAATGTGATACCAAGATATCTTAGCACATTAAATGCCTCTTATGGTGTATCAATGAAACTCATGGAGATAACTAACAGTATTCAAGCTCAAAAAGTCCATAAAACAGTACAAAATAGGAGCACAGCAAACACGGACCTCCAAAACATCAGAGGTGGAATCAGATGCCATGGAGGACTGAGTATCCTCTGCCAAACGGTCACACCCGCCGTGTGCTCCGTTTTTCTAATAATACTAGGATTTACTCTAATTTCGATGTGTATTGAATTTGTAAAGTACTTACCTTGTCATTAAAAAAAAATAAAAACATTCTGAAAATATTCTTGAGTTTCTGATTGATAATAGCTGTGTAGTTTATCGTGATTGGGTCTCCAAATAATCGGCCGGAATCCCCATAGGTACCAATTGCGCCCCCTATTAAAAGAACTATTTTTGAATTTATATTAAGCATAATTCACTCAAAAACCATAAATGAGAAGAAGATATCACTTGCTGTGGTCTTTATTTCAACATTCAGATATATCGACTTAGTATTATCAGTTAATAATTGTTATTTCCATTCATATATCCCAGTGAGCTTGAAATAAAAGATACTATAGAGTTTTACACATTTCATTGTTTATGTCTCTAAATTGGTTAGATGCGCAAAAGCATGTTCAACGTATGAATACTTTCTAAAAAAATATATTTTATAATTTAAATATCGTCACTCAGAAACTTATGCATCTTTTAATATCATCGTTGGAGTAATTGTGTGCACAATCAGAATGCTTTTTAACAAAATGATTTTGAAAGTAAATTTAAATAAGAAACGACAAGGTAAGTAAATTTACGAGTTTTATTTTCATTGAAAAGCTGCTGTCTATATAAAAAAAATACTTTAAATTTTCGCGGGTAATAGTTGGATTAAATTTTATTTGTAAAATCTTAAATATGGATGGCCTTCATTTTGGTAAAATTTTGTGGTTTGAATTCTAAGTCTTTGATTTCATTTATACCGCTTCTTAATTTTTTTATTGTTTCTTCGTCACCGCTGTAAATTTTAAAGAAAGGAATAAAGAAAGAAGCTTGAGAGAACATTTACTGAAACCAGCTTTGTATTTTTTATTTTTATTTTTCGCTAAAAATACATATTAAAAATATTTAAAACTAACGTATGTGTTTGAGAAAATTCCTCCTTTCAAAATAAGTTGGATTCCTATTTGCAGAAAAAAAACCCGGGTCATCTGAAATATAATTACGATAACGAGACTTACAAACAATGTTGTGCATATCACGTTTCAATGACTTGTCCATTTTATGCCATATGACATTTTGATCCTAGTTGCTGCATATTACCGGTATGAAATGCATGTAAATACGATTAAAACAGATCTGATAGTTGCTGCATATTATGAAATGCATGTAAATGCGATTAAAACAGATTTTCATCTTGCATTATAATAATAATTCATACAAAAGGAAATACTGCAACGAATGAAAAACAGTTTTCAGTTTTTATTAAAGAGGCAGTTTCGCGTGACGTCATATTTTACATTTGTCTTGCTTCTTTGCAAAGGAAAAGAAAGGTTACCTCTCTTGTGCAGTGCGTCACAAGTTACTTGTTATTTACCACATTGTCCTGACTGTGACTGTTCTGTATCATGCAACTATCATGTGACATATACTTTTGTCTTTCATTTTGTTTTAGATTACTAGTAAGCAAAGAAAACCTTAGCCCTAACTATACATGTATACCGGTGTTGTACAGTAGGATTTCCCCCATAGCCAGCTTTCCCCTGGAAATCATACTCTAGAGTAGGATTTCCCCATGCACTAAGTGCCAAATGTCCACTCTTTCTTTCTCAGAGTAGGATTTCTCCCCTTGTTATAAAGTCAATATAGACTACAGCCGCAATATTTTTGTGGAAAAAAAGCACAGGCACTTGGGGTATGGACCCCTCTTCCAGTCGTTTAGGAAAACGTGGAAAATCCTTAAAAGTGAAACATTCCGTGTAGTCTTTACAAGAGCATGTACCGTGTAGTCTTTACAGGAGCATGTACCGTGTAGTCTTTACAGGAGCATGTACCGTGTAGTCTTTACAGGAGCATGTACCGTGTAGTCTTGGCAAGAGCATGTACCGTGTAGTCTTTACAGGAGC